AAGCCAATGTGAAATTGGTGGTTTCTCATTTTATTCGTATTTGACCTTAGGGAAATAGTATATAATTTTCTTCACCTACAAAAGCTTCGGTATTCATATAAATTTAATTAATTAATAATATGTATTCCCAGCAGTCTTGATTGGCATTTTTAACTTAGCATTTATGGCGTGAATGGTGCTATCTTAATATTTATATCATTCCTCAACAAAACCATTTTGACTTATATACAATACGTATTAATACTTCTTTTTACACCATGGTGCATCCATGCATGATAGTGTGTATAATATACCATGTAGATTGAGTAAGAGCTATGCAAACGAAATGCACATTTATTTGCGTCGTTTGATTAACGAGTTGAACTCGTGCTCATTTAAGAGTTATATGGTTAATAAGTCAAGCTGAATTATGCTTGATGAATAGAGATTCTTACATAATTTTTGAACTTTGAACATGGTTTGGCTCAAAGGCTTGAGCTCTAACTCAATTCGACTCAACAAAACTCGACTCAACAAATTACCGATAGTTTCTAAGCATAAAATTTGAAAGCTGGACTTGAGGTGGCCTACTGGAATGGTTACCCACAACTCAATGGGCTTTGATTAAGGTCCAAATAGAGATAATTACTTAAGGCACGAGAGAATCTTCTTTTAATTGGACTCTTACGATCATGTAATTTTTATCTGCAAACACATGATATTTCTGTTTCCGCAATATATATATATATATATATATATATATATATATATATATATATAAGGGCTGGTTCAAATAAAAACTATGTCTGGTGTGAGAACCGTGAGAACCATATTTGATGCTATTTTTAATTGTGTATGATGCTATTTTTNAGATATATAAAAATTATAAATAAAAAATTTGAATATAAATAAAAATATGAAACATATTATACCGTTTTGAAATTTCAGTTGATAATTTGAAATCATTCGGGTCCTTAATGGATATTTTTTTATCTTTGAAGCTCCTAATTAATAATTATGTCATATTTTGAGTCTCAAATTAATATAGTTAAGTTTTAATTAATAGTTTTAGATCTCGTGAGTTGTGACTTTGATAGAATACCCAAATGGATAAATCTCTGTTAATGGTTTATAAATAAAATAAGTGAAAACAAATTAATTTTAAATAATTTAAAGTTATTTATTTAAATTAAAGACCCGTGGAGAGAACATGTATAAGCTTTTTCTTTACCATCCTTGTTGGAACTTTTATTTTTATTTTAGGTATGTGATGTCAAAAAATTACACCATCCTTCTTCGTTCTCTTACTCAAAATTATTGCTCTGATACCATGACAGAAATTGAGGAAAAACGGATGCGGGCCCACTATCATGAAGCGCACCATGAGAAAACGGGAAAAGCTCATATGAAGCTCAAATGGGGTTCCATCCCAAAACCATTTGGTGGAAGGAGGAGTAACTCATTAGTCTTATAAGGTGGGTCTATTTTCCATGTATGAACGATGTGGGACAACTCACAAGTGATATTCTAACACGCTCCTTCACTTGTGAGTCCTTCGAAAAGCCCAAGTCCAATTGCTTGGGTGACGGGTACGTCATCGCACGGTCACCAACTGAACCGTCTCTGATACCATGACAAAAACGAGACAAGAGAGATATAGTGACGGCCATCTTTTCTGATGATGCCGCTTCAAACAAACCGAAATATATATACTAGCTTTAGAGTTTACAATTAATTAACATAAATACACCTAATGCTAATACAATAAATACTAATATAATACACAATAACATTATTGATTAAACTTTTCAAAATATATCAATCAATTATTTTATTTTCCTCAATCTATTTGAATTTTTATTTTTAATGATGTGATATCAGTAATTTGATATTAAAATTTTCAAAAGTTTATAATTAATTACTCCATTCTACCTAATCTACAGTTTTATTTGCTTTGAAAAATATAAATTATGGATATGATTATCGATTAATCACTCAAATAATATATTTTTTGAAATGATAGATGGGAAAATCTTTTAACTATGATTTTTTATATTAAATAAAATACAATTATATGTAATAATTCATATAAGTAATAATAAAATTATTGGGTTTTAAACTTACCCTATATGGGCCTTAGACTTATTTTTGCTAGGGCCGAAGAATAGGTGAACCCAATTATTTAAAAATTTAACCCATTGCCAGAATTGTCGTCTAAGAACTTTTGAGCTTTTCGAAAAACTATATAGAGGAATTTACACCCCATACTATCATATTTAATTTATATAACACTTATACACCCATTTTATTTTCATTTATAAAATAGCCAAACCAACCACAAAATATTGCAAATATACCTAATAAGGTGCAAAATCCTTTTAACCGTTACAAAGCAATTTTCGGGCAATTAAATACATGTGAGATCAATAATTGAGATATACTTACCAAATAAATCGTAAGAATCTCTCTCTCTCTCTCTATAAATCAGAATAATTAATTGTCTATCTCTGTGAAAACCTCCGCCCACGTTCGTCATCTCTCTTAGTTTCGGATCGCAATTTTTTTTTTTTTTTTTCCGTGAAATCTGATTGCCTTCGATTCATCCTAGATATTTTATCTGTTTGTGTTCATCTCAGCTATTCTAGAATCAGCGGTTAGAGATAAAGGAATCACAAATATCTGAGGCGTAAGAGATGATCCGTGACCAAATCGAGAATGAATGGAAACCGGCGGCTAAGGATGAAGAAGACGACGTCAACGAGTTGGTCAACTAACAGATGTGTGAAGATCGATCTGTCAACTTTTTTTTAGTGGTATATTTGCTTAACTTTTGTTAAGAAAAAGATCAATCGCGCCTCTATTGTTTGTGTTGCGTTGTAGTATATATACATTATATGATCAGTATATGTACATATATGTTAAATATATACGTTTTTTTACCTGGTAGGAGGAAAAAATATACCTTGATGTTAATCGATCTGTCAATTTTTTTATTTTTTTTTGTGGTATAATTGTGGTATAAAGTTTATGATCAGTATATGTACAGTATATGTGAAATATATATATATACATAGTCGACTGTCCTTTTTTTCTTGAGGGTATTTTTTTTGTGGTATATTTGCGTAACTTTTCTTAAGAAAAATCGATTTGTGCTATGTTGTAGTATATATAAGGTATATGATCAGTATATGTGATATATATATATATATATA